CTCGCGGTGTTACCAGGTCTCTGAATGGCGTTAACGATGCCCCTTCCTTTTTGCAGGTTCCCGCTGTAGGTGATCAGCTTGGTTTTGTATGTTCAGTGATCAGCTTGGTTTTGCACGTTCAGTGATCAGCTTGGTGTTGATCTGAGTGAAACTGTGTCCGTTTACCAAAGTTTGTAGAGACCCACCTGCATGGCAAGCGTAGTTGGGTGCACACCTATCTCCTGATTAGGTAAGTCATTGTCTGTAATCGAGGGTTCCAGATGAAACCCGCTGCTTCTGAAGCCATTACAGTCCAGGTGTCAGTGGAAGCTTCAGATTGTGTAGGCATGATTCTAGTGCAGCGAAATCAAGAAGGGGCGGTATGAGCCTGCCTACCAAGGAATCGGATCGGTGGGTTATTAAACGGCTAAGCAGTAGGACCAGGCTCCCCCAGCAAAATTTGGCTCGTGGTCGCTGTTCAGATCAGATCTTCCTCTTCTGAACAGCGATTGTCAGTGGTGACTCCCGCCCAGATAAATCTGCTCTCCCCCTGGCTCCTCCCATTTCTCACATGCTCCTCGACCTCTAACCAAATTTTGATGTCGATTTGTAGCTGTCGATGAAGGTCCTACAGTGGAGGGACCTACCACCACCGCAGTTACGTCCAGGTAATTAACAGTGTATGACTCCCTGAAAGATGCCACGATGCTCTGCCTCACCTTTGCTTTCAATGCACCGCATGCCAGGTGTATTTGTAATAATCCATTGCGCTGACTAATCCCACTTCCTCCATTCTCAGTGGGCCAGTCAATTCGAGAGTCAGGCCTTTGCTTGCAAGTTGCCGGATTACTGCCAGATCCTGAACACATTTAGCACTGCTTGTGATATTGTGGATTATTTCCCGTTTTGAAAACTTATACACCGAGACCTAAGGGCATCCCCACCGTATCGCTTCAAAGGACCTGAACCAAAACCAGGGTAAACACAAATTGACGTCACCACTTGCTCCAACCGTGGCCAGCCAACTGCAAAATAGGTACAGAGCCCGCCAGATGTGTGCTTGAGCACACCGTATTCAGCGTGGTAGGGGGAGCTATGTCATGACCTTCCTCTAGTCATCATTCTTGTTCCACAATTGTGAATCATTAAATCAAGGTTTCCAAAGACTGAAACCGCCACAAGGCAAGCACCCATACCATCCCATACTGTACCGTGTTGGCCGGTGGGGCGTGCGCCCGGTACAAAATTCGGTTCAGTTGTGGACCTCACCACCCTGAGCTTGCACCCATTTAGTGGGGCACGGGTAGGGATGCTGTTATGGCCACTGAGTTAGCCCAGCCTGCCCCGTGATATGCTTTTATTTTCTTATCATTCCATGAAATGCATGAAAAACTGATCCTGCCAGTTTTCTGTCTCAAAAGTTATTGCCCCTGTATGAGGTGCAAGGTGAATGCTCCACGATTTCCTTCACGACTGTTTTGACAATGCTGATGCTACACTCTAAAGCACAATCGTGGAAGTTATAAAAACATCTACCCACTTCATATATGATTTTCCACAGCAAATATGTCTAGAATCTCCTCCAAAGAGGTCCTTTCCAGACAGTGTCCCTTCAAGGTTCTTTTGTGCAACTTTTCTCTCTCGCTCATTCACTTTCAGTATTTGCCATGCAGCTTTCTTTCACCACTGTGCCTCGATTATACGTGTGAGTCAGAACTTATTAAGTTGTGAGATCTTTGCCTGGCATTGATGAAAGGTGAGCAGTAAAAAGTCTTGCGTTGGTAATTACCTACACTTCATTCTCATTGCCTGGAAGTCGAATATCGGCAAAAGCAAAATTCGGCTTAATTCAATCTGGAACTTGCACTTGATTGCTAAACTGGTAGAGTTACGAGTTTCCACATTTATTCATGGATATTTGACCAAAGAATAGAGTCTTCCGGGTTGTTTGGTGGATGAAAGTGATGATGGGCTTGGGTAGAGGAGTGCAATCACAGATGGAACAATTCTTCTAATAGGAGGATAATAGGTCAAGTTTGGTCAATTGCGGTCAATACCAGTCCGTAGTCAATCCTCACTCATCATCCACAATCATAGCCCCTGCCACAACACATGCACAATGCTATGGACATTAGAGTCCAGGTTACAAAATCATAACATCACAGTGATGACATTGTGGGCAGTCGTGTGATTTAAGGGCTTGAATTTAATTCAACACCAACTGATTTTTCAAGTGTTTGGAATGCTGACTTTTCTTCTTTCAGTCTGATATATGATTGTTAAGACATGCTTCAGTTTGAACTTCCAACTTTCAAGGTAATTGTAGGTCTGGAAACTTTGGTTCTATGCTCATAGTTCATTGGTCCTGCATGAAAGAAATTGCTCAACAGTGTAAACATAGAAGTTCTTCGAAGAGAATAAATAATTTACGTATACTACTCTCGTCCAGTCATGTTCATAGCAAATGCATCTGCACACGACAAGATGATTGTACGTGCAATATTATACATTTTTCACATAGCAACAGGAACTAACCTTCTCACATCTGCACCATGGGAAGTCTGGTACGGTCCTAGTCTGTGAGTGCTCAATCCATCAGGCATCAAGTCAAAAGGAAAAAGGTGAAGAGTTGGAAAACATTATAAAAAAAAAAAAAAAAAAAAAAAAAAAACACTCACACACAGGGGAAGAAGAGTTGAGGAGTGGATGAGAGAGAATTGAGATGAGTGCATGAGAAGTTTGTGTGAATCTGACATCAACAGGATTATTTTCTTCTTCACGTAAACAACCAGTCTCCATAATTTGACCAAGTTACCATTTACTCAGAATGGTCACCACGCTGAACAGACAGGGTTGTAAGTCTGGCAGGAGCTCCTCGCAATGAATGACGACGCAGGAAGCGCAGAACTTGGGGGGAAGTTAGACTGAAGATGCAGTCTCAGAGCCATGAATATTGGCAAGCGTGGTGGGAAGATATGGCAGACAGCTGCCGAAATTGTTGCTGCCGGAGCAAATCTACACGACACTAACTCATACGCATTCATAGCAGAGGAATTGAATTATTATTCCTTACACGCAGTGACGAGCATGGGATAATCACAAAGCATTACTCAACTCACTGTAGACTGGATGGTTGAACTCTTTGAACTAATCACAAGAGGCACACCAGCAGAATGTTCTGTGCAGAACATATGAAGCGAACCCCCTGATCATCTGCAGAAGGTTGCATCACGATGCTGCCTCGAGGACTGTTGAGACATTGGAATGATAAGGGCGCCCGTTTTGAAGACAATCTCGATTTGTGAGCCAACCAAAAGTACTCACTAAATTTCTGTGTGCACATTTGGGTCTGCGTGCCATCGGGGACTGGAGGAAGTCAAAAGTGCGGCAACCGACAAAAGCTTGGTACGGTTTATGCACAGACTAAAGCAAATGGACTAATAAAAACTTGCCACAGAGATCACAGAGATTGGAGTTTACTGGAACCATGGTCAGCCAGATGCTAATAAGTTTCTGGTTACCACCGGCAACCTCAAGTGACTTGAAATTCACCGGAGTACTTCGATTGCAAATCGCTGGTACCGTTAATGTAGAGATTTGCCTGTGCAGTGAACGATTCAGATTAAGCACGTTGAAGGAATTTATATACACACACTTCACACTCCCTGGGAGCCCAACTGGGTTTTAAAATCAAATATCAAATGTTCAAAAGTAAAACATTAATACTAAGATATTTTGCATAAAGATAAAGAATCGGTCCACTGCACTCATTGCATCCCTTCATAGAAGGAAAAACTGAATCCTTGACCTAGCTCAAGAAACAAAAGCACTTACATCTCTGGGCCCCTCAGAGGCCGGGAAACAACTTTGAGGTACAACCTGAATTAATCCATTTACTGAGGCTGCACCTCATCGCCTCTGCCAGTCACATGGACCATGATTTCAAATATTCAATGTTTTCTAATAATGTTCCTTCTCACCACATGCAAAAGGTATTCACCAGAAGGTAGGACACACTTGCCTGGCATCGCTGATTATGTAACGGGACATGCAATGTTTGGAGCCGTATAGAAAGTCGTTGCAAACGGGTCCTAATGTGTTCACACATTTGATTCCTTGCCGCTTGAACCAACTTGCCGTCTTAGAGTTGTAACCCAAACACCATTGCAGACACCCCTTAGATCATCCCTAATTTCTTCCACTCCTGTATTGACTGCCTGAAAAGAGGTCCATGACAAAAATTTGCTTTGGGCTCAAAGTGACCAACTCAATGGAGATGATCTTTCCAATACTTTTCTAATTCAGGGCCCAAGTAGCGCTGAATCGGCATCAAAGCAAAACAGAAGTAATCTAATGAATTGACTTAGCACCACGACCCTTCTCATCTTTTAATACGCTTTTACAGTCTGCTGGGAAACCGACTGAGCTGACATCAATCAGGTTGCAACAGATGGAACATAGACCTGGTCAAGCAGCCACTACTTCAGCCCTTCTGATTCGCTGCAGAGCATAGGCCTGGGTTCACTAATACAACTAATGTTCCGAATGCCTCTTAGGTACAAAGGTGCTCCCCTGTGGAGACATCGAAAGGTACACAATGGCTTACAGGGAAAACCTTGCGTCTCCAAGTGCAATCTACATAGCAACACTAACTACTTACTGCACGTTCCGAATTCCTTGGCTATTCCCATGCAAGCAGTACCACAGTAGGCCTTCTACCATCAAGAGAGTCTGCTCATCCAGTATTCTGGTGGGTGACCTAACGGACCAGGTATTAGTCAAAGCGGCACTTCGAATTTCTGCTAAGTAAATGCGCCAACCAAATATGTTAGGCCGTGCAATCGTCGCCAGATCAGGTAAACTTTCATAAAACTAGATGAAAACTACATGAGAACTAAAAGCTAGCAGCTCCTACTCATACCAAAGCCGAAAAAAATGCTCTTACATATGGTTCTTGAGGATGCTTGAGAATATATCATAAGCAAGAATTTCTCACATTCCCTTCTGTTAAGTAATCAGTGTAGCAATAATAGGTGTTCTTGAGATTTAGGCGTTTAGAGTCCGTACATGGGTTGTAGATCTTGTCATTACACTCGGTTGGAAGACCAAAGTTGTACAAGATGAAAATATAGTGTGTTACTACACGCTCATTGTCCAGGTTGCTTTTATTGCTTCAAGAATGTACCTTGAATAGAAAACCTCCGAAATAGTCCCAGTTGTCGCCTACACAGGAGCTGTATCCTACGAAACGCTAGCTACTTCGTACTAGAAACCATCTACAGTCACTCAACGCTAGATACATTAGATCACGGTGTAGGATTTGGATATCGTTCATGCACACGATCAATTTCAGCTAAAATGTCTTCACTAAGATGAACGCGAGCTGCATCAAGAATTTCGCGCAGCTGCCACAACTTTGTAGCACCAATTACCACACTTGTCACAAGTGGACGCTTTAGTACAAAGCCTGCATCAATTGTAACAAAATGAAAATTGATTTTCTGGTGTACCATCCAGTAACCCTCAGAGAAATTATGAAACCACCGCAGTAAGAGACTGTAACTCTAAGCATTTGCTAGAAAACTGATAGAAGGAAATGCATGCAGCTTGGTCCAAAGACTCTAATCTTACCAATAGCTAAAGCAACAGGGCTTAAATTGTGACGTTGTGCAATCTCCACATAGGCCTATGAAAAGGACGAGAAGTGTCAGTAAGAAATGCTAACGAAACGGGTACAAGCATGTTGAGAATCGAAAGCATCCACAAATACTCCAGCAACGGTATTGTTCAAGTTTCCATACTGAACGATAGATGATTAGTTAAAACTGACAAAAGCAATTGTCTTTATGTCAGATTGCAAGGACTGATGAAGTAAAGTTGATACGAGAAAATTGACCGAGATGGAAACCCACGAAAAAAGTAGTGAAGAAGTACGAGGGAACTGTATCAAACTTCACCTTGATGGCAGGAAGGACATTCGGCTTAGCCATGCTGTACCGGCACTCAGCTTCTGCATATCGTCCTGCCAAGTATGTACACAAGTAAGCCATTGTTGAAGCAAAATACAGCAAAGAAGCATGTTAGTTGTATCAGTGTTTTCTCATCATAGGACTTACAAAACAAATCCTTGGAACAATACATTCATGAAAATAAACACTTTTTGATCAATTGGTGAAACCTAAATAAGCACCAGCGACAGTGAAACAGATCTGGAGTACAAAGACCCCTTCAACTTATTCAAAACAGTAAAAAGGTTCAGGTATATCTGACAGCTCGCACTTACAAAGACATATCTAAGATCGAAAAATACACTGTGGTCTCACAAGCCTATTTATCAATCTTCGCATAGTGAGCTTCTGTTCATATGAGCATGCTAATATAGAAGATGAATTAGCTAACTGTTAAGACGATTGCGTACGGATGGTTGAGGGAGAACTAATAAAAAAATCAGTAACATCCCATATTGAAATTTATCCAGAACCAAGATGTTAGATGCGACGCATTCTACCCAATTTACCTCGGTACTTATTAAGTCGGAATTGAGAGGAACCTCCATAATCGGAAAGGTATTTTCCAGAAAGAAGCCCCATTGCTAGAGGACTATATGCAAGTAGACCAACCCTGAATCCAGATGTGTGCATAGCTCCATTTAGCATTTGCTACGTGGGACATATTTTCTCAAATCGATACAATTAAGGTAAATACTCAAGCCTGGTAGTGACAGAGGACCGATGAGACAATCCAATCCTAACAAAAGTAGGAGACAAGGTAACGAAAAAGAGAAAATGCACAGTGCAGGAAAAGACCTTTGGTGATTGCAACACTCAGCAAGGGTCATGTCGAAGGTCCGACACAATAGACTGTATGCATTCTGTTGTCGTACCCGCAAAAGAAGTGCATTCAGTAAGAACAATTTGCAGCATAAAAAGGGAACGGATGTGATAATATTTTGGACTTTCAAATAAATGTGGTACAAGAAGATGAAAGGATTCAGAAAGTTGTGCTACAGAAGATGACATTTCACCTGGATGGTAATAATCCGAGGAAGTGAGTTGTTCTGTTCGGCCAGACGGCAGAATTCCATCACCCCAAACGCTGTTTCGTTGCTCACACCAATGTTTCTGATCTGGAACGCAATAGATTCATTGATGTGGTTCTTGAATGTACTTCAAACTTATGAACTTCAGACTCTCAGCACAGCAATTCTAAGTGTGTAATAAGACTATAAAATTGTATCAAATTGCATGATAAGACGTGGGGTACAACCTTGCCTTCTTTCACAGCAACACCAAGAGCCTGCAATTGCTCCTCAATGCTGACTGATGAGTAACTACACGATGGGTCATAATCTCTGTCGCCAAACATAGGCACATACCTACAAAAAAGCACAAACAACAAAAAAAGCAAAACAAATCTACATGAAATTCTACCATTGGTTGGAAAGATAGCAATTATCAGTAGACGACAATTACTTCATACAACCACAGCAATGAGGAGCATCACATTACCTATCCGGCCAGTGAAGCTGGTAAAGATCGATGTAGTCAGTACCCAATCTCTTCAAACTGTTATTCAGGACAGACGAAAACTTGTCAACTTTTTGCTTGGTAAGAGACAAATGAATAATTTGTTCCACCTCGACAGGTCTACTGTTGAAGAAAATATAAAACTATTAACCATCTAAATAGACAAACATTCCTATACATCCTTGCAACCAAGAAAAGATCCCTCTGATGTCCAAATAAAGAACTGTTACAACAGCGTCTGTTTACTTCTACGTACAACAAGGGAATATCTTATGTTTCATTACAATAAACTGGAAAAAGAACGATTGACTGAATTCATACCTGCCATCAATGGCTTCTTTAATGTTGCGCCCATCAAGTGATGAAGGCCCTCCGCGTATCCATGTCATTTGTCCTGACGGTCCAGTGGCCTGTTCAGCTTCGCACAACTCAATTCCCTACTGTTCCTGCTAAAATCGTATAAATCACAATCAAACAAGTGCTAATTTCAAACAGCATGTTACTAAAGAATTAATCACCACCTTCGTTGCCAGCACCACACGGTCTCGTGGCACCTGGGACTGCTTGAGCCATCGCCCGACGTACTCTTCAGTCCTTCCTTGAGTTTCTGCTCTTTGTGGAACTGGATACCTGCGAAGAGCGGGCAATTACGGGAAATGTGTGGTGGACACTAACTTCCGCTTTATCGAGACACGAAGGACCATTCTGAGGACTTCGCGTAAGTCACATCGACAATTGTTAAATGTGAAGGAGAAATTCAGATCAACAAGTTCAGAAAATTACCCAAGGTTATTTCCGTGAGTGCGTCAATTAGTCCTTTGAAAGCAGAACAATGCAGGGTCCATTCTGAGGAAGTCCAAGTCGAAAGTAACAGGGGACACAATGAAATGGGCAACTCATATCGAAAAAATTCACGCTGCATTCATTCGGGAACCGTCAATGTACTCACATTTCCGCTGCGTCGAGGAAATTCACGCCCTCTTCCGTGGCCATGTTGAGCTGCTGACATGCATCCTCGAAAGTGTTCTGCTCCCCGTAAGTCATTGTTCCTGAACCACCAAACAAAAATCAAAATACAACTCAATTTCCATAGAATCTCTTAATATACAACTTGAGAATCTTCTTCAAAATCAAACACTCCAATGGATTAAAAAAACCGCACAGCGGATGAGTGAACCCACCAAGACAAAGCTTCGAAACTTGCAACCCAGGAGCTAAAGTTGCACGAAACATCGCCATTGTTCGCACTTCTCACTGCCTCTAATCTCGAAAATCAACAACACCTCGACAAAACCATTACCAGAAATGATGGTAACGAAACCTAACAGCCCACAAACACATCACCCACTTCCGAAAACTCCACAAAATTCAACGCAACAAAAACGACAAGCAAGGATTTTCATAATCCTTTTGGTCTTAAACCCACTCTGGCTTTCTGGATTGAGGGCATCGGGGCAAGAACCCGGTCACCGAAAATGAGTAAATGCTCCACAATTGTCTCACTCTGCAAAGATTTCCAGGTGGGTAGCATCAAAATGTTGGCTTTTTATCTTTTTCTTCCATTTTTGTGATGTTTTAATATTGTTTGTTAGAGTTTGTGGTGCTCTTGAAGTATATTTTATTTGTTTTGTTAGGTTCATATTCTGGTATTAATTTTGGAGATTTCCCTCGAGAGTGAACCAATGTCGGTATGCGTGTTTGGTTCACAGACATAATGGGATGATTCGACTATTCTGCAAAGAAGTTTTATAGAAAAAAGGAGTGGAAATTGTATGTCCCATCAACAAGCAAAATGTTGTGAATGATAGAGAACATCGCCACAAAGTTCAGAAAATTGCAAGAAGTTTGTCGTTTGTGTGAATTGGGAAAATCAAAGTGCAGAAAGATATGAAGATTGAGTTATCAAAATTACACATAAATTTGTACTGAAGATTTAAGAGATTGAATTGGTGTGAATTCAAGAGTGACTGTTTATATAGGTTAGTGATGGATTAAGATTTATTTGGTTGTTTTATATCTTCATCAACTATACAATTATATATATATATATATATATTCATATATAAGAATAATAATAATAATAATAATAAGGTGATCATATAGTTGAAATTAGTACAACAATCAAAATTTATTATAAATTTATTATAAAAAACAAAAATAAAATGTATTCTTTGTTTGAATAGGATAACTAAGATTTGAGTACAAGATATGAATTGCCAAAATTGAGGATGGCCTAGTATTATATATAATTATATACACATATACACATGCACACACATGCACTAGTCAACAAGAAAGTCAAATTGTAAAAAGTAATTATTTTTAAAAACACAAAATAACAAAAAATAATAAAAGATTTGTATTGAATTCTAATATTATAGAATTCAATTGTATAGTCTCTACAGGAGCTAGATTTTTTTTAAATAAATATTATGGTTTTCTTTTTTTATTATTGATTATTTTACTTGATGCTAAGATGCTCTTTTTGGTCATCTATTGACATTGTATCAAAATCTTCAATTATTTGAATAGAATTTTTTTGATTCATATTCATATTTTAATATATGTTTATGAACCTTCATAGTAAAATTTCATCAATATACAAATACAGTACTTAAAATTTTAATTTTAATCTATGAAATATTATTTTAAAAAATTAAAACATTTATAAAAGTTTGAACTTTCTAAAATAAAATGAATTTAAAAGATATTTTGTAATATATTTTCAAAGCTTAAATAAGATTAACTTATTAAGTAGTTTGAACATAATCTTTTGATCTTTTTATAAATACAAACATACATCTAATAAATAAAATATTTTACTATTTAATATTTTAAATATTATTGTTATATATACGAATATTTCATAATCAAGGTATTTTCAAATTCTTTTAAAAGACATTAAAATTACATTATTTTAATTTAAGTAGAGATTACTATTCTAACTGTATCTTTTATTTACTAAACATGAATATTTATTGTAGATAGTATAAATTTAGAAAAAAAATCTAAATAAGTTAATATGCTAAATTTTTCTAAAAAAACTTAAAAAGTTAAAATGCTAAAAAAATCAAAGATAAAATCACATACATCTTAAAAAACAAATCATAAATTAATTTTATTTAAATATTCATATATATATATATATATATATATATATATATATGAAGTTGTAATTATAATTGTAGTTATAGATATTTTAAGAGACCATCAATTTTTTCAGATTAAATAATCTTAAGTTGATTATTTGATACAAATAATTAATTAATAAAATTACAATAAAAGAGGTGAAATTCAAAGCATTGTAAAAATAAAAATAAAAATAAAATCATTTAACTAAATTGCATTCTATAGATTGTTTTGATGAAAAGGTAATAATATTTTTTTTAGCATTCGACCACCATACGAGAATGTATGTATTGTATAGAAAACATTAAAATAAATCATTTAAATATTTAATTTTATTGAATACAAATAAATACATATTTTTTAATGATAATATAAATATTAAAAATAGGATTAAAAAGACTTATTAAAAATGATTATGCAATCATGTATAAATAGAAATACAAACGTATATACATATTCATAAGATAAAAATACAGTTTTTAATTATAAATTGGTTATTGCTAAGTACAATAAAAATATGTTTTTAGAAAGCCTCCTGAGAACCATAAGGAATTAATACAATTAAGTGTTAGGAATTCAAGTTGTACGACTTGACAAAAAAAACAAAAATTATATGGTTTGATTCTTTAAAAAATTCTTTAATATTTAGTCAAAAATAAATATTAAAAACTATTCAAAATTTCGACTAATTTTTAAGAAATTATTATAGGCCTAAAAATATTAAAATATTTCCTAAAACTATATTTATAAATCATGCATTGAAAAAATATATTTTTAAATAAATTTTAAAATAAATATACTAAATGATTTTTTTGAGATATCCTCATCTTATATCCTAAGAAATAAAAAAATACAATGTTATATATATATATATATATATATATATATATATATATATATAAATACATACATACATACATACATATATGGTGTAAAATATTATAGATGTTTAAAAGATAAAAATTGAAATTGATGGCCTTTTAAGAAGATCATAATTTCTAACATTCCATACATACTATTTTTAAAAAAAAACTAAACCAAATTGAAATAGAGTTTCACAATATAAATGTTATTTTGTATTACTTTCAAAACAAAATATTTGAAACTGAAACTAACTTCAAGAAGAAGTTTAATCTCCAATATATTGTTCAACATAAATCATAGTTGTTTTAACAAAAATATTATAATTAATGCAATATATTATTTTCCTCAGAATACTTTTTGATGTAATTTAGGGTTTTAGTTGTTGCAACCATAAGAATATGTTATGAAAGATAATATTTGATAAGTTTTAATGTAATTTTTGTGAATTTTTAGTGGAGATTTAGAAATATCTATTACATATATATATATATATATATATATATATATATATAAACTTGACTTCTTCTATTTTTTAATAATAAATTATATTCTTCAATTAGCTATATAATTAGAGAAAATCACTTTTGCAAGAATTTTTTTAATTAAATTGTAAGGATATTTTATAAATGAATCAATATAGATCAAACTACTAGGAGTTTTAGAATTGTTGCATAGAATAATCTCAAAAAACCTTTCAACTAACTTAAATAATATATGTAATAAAAATAGAAATTACAAGCTCAAAAATTAATAAACTATTCTGTATAAATCAAATAAAAATAACATAAAATAAAATATATCTTCTTATTTTGATTTTTTTATTTTAAAAACCATTATTTTAATTTAAATGAAATTTTAGAAAATTGTAAATCAAAATAATTATTAATTTAAGATTATTTTCTCTTCTTTTCTTTTTCTTTTTTTTATTAAAACACTTGCAGAACTGAAACGATTTTATTTTAAAGCTTGGATAACAAGTAACAACAAACATAAATATAAATTTTGTGGTTTTTAGAATGATAGTATATATATATATATATATATATATATATAATTATATCAAAAAATTAAGATCTAATTTTATTCTTTAGAAATTGAAAAGATAGAAAAAGAGTAGACAAAAATTTACATTTATCTATTAAAATGATGAGCAGTATTTTTAGGAAGTATTTAAAATGATCAAATGTGATTCTAAATCAATATTCATGACTGTATTTGAAATAATAATCATAATCACAATATCATTTAGAAATTCAAATTTCAATCTTCAAAACAATTAAAAACTTTTTGAAATAAATAATTGTAAACATTACTTTAAATAATACAAAAAAAGTGTTTCTTCTCTCACCACACACAAATTTGAATCTAAAACTTGCAACAAACTCAAGAAACAATAATCAAGTGAAAAAATTCAAATATGTAAATAGAGAAAGAGAGAGAAAAATCTACAAATAAAAATATAATAAGAAAACACAATGAAACTCAAAAAAACTAGTAGTTCAAAATTAAAACACCGACACATTCACAACAAAACTTCCAACAAAACTTCCAACAAACGACCGAACCATTCACAGTAGTTCTGCAAATCTAACAAGCTTAAAAAATCAGAAAACATCTTCAAAATCAAAGAATAGTCCCGAAGATCATCAACTACTTTTTGATCTCACCCTTATCAGTCAGTCAATTTCAGTGGCAAAAACGACACCAATAAAATATAGCAAACCAAGCAGCGACGGTCCACGGTTCTCCTACCGACATGCGATTGTTGCGTTCACAGGAACAGCATTCCATACAAGAAAGAGAAATGAAAACACTTCAGTGCATGCGATGCTGCAATAAAACCTTGATCCTGATTCATTCTTCACTTCACAGATTAGGTTCCATTCATGTTGTGGAATGTTGCACGATTTGACAACATTGGGCGTCGAAGTAGGAAATTGTAGCAGTGAAATTCCACTCTCTTTCACCCTTTCATGCTCATTATTGCACCACTTATTGAAAAATCTGAGTGAGAATCAGCCGTTTATTTTCTTCAAACATTTAAATTAGATTCCTTGAAAGTTGTCACTATAGAAGTGTGAGAAGAATTTTGGAGTTTTTTATTTTTTTTATTTTTCTATGTTGTTTCCTCATTTTTGGACCCACAAATGTGTGCTGTAACAAAGCGATGTCTATGGAATTTTATCATATCAGTTGCTTGGTATTTGTTTAGGGTGATTGGCTTATTTTCGTATTGGTTTTTCAAAAATTGAATGGTTGGTAAATGAAACAAATCGGTGAGTTGATAGATTTGTCTTTTTTAGTGTGATTTTTCAAATGTTTTTCTGAGTAGGAAAGATATATTCTAGACAATGAATTAAAGTTGTTGTAACTGTGATTTAGTGAGAATGACTGATATTTTAACAATTTTGTAACTCATACAAACTTATGTTTTTTTTTATTATTTTTATTATCAGTACAAAGCTTTTTTGTAATTTTTTATCAAATTTACAATGTGGGTGTTGTTAATGCATTTACTGAAACCAGACTATAAT